TAATTGGCTAACTGGTTAAACATATTGTTCACCTGGTGAACCGATTAAAGGGAGACGAGCACAGGGAACGGGAAGAGGCAGGGGGATACTGAAGCAACCCTTGCCTACAGCAGGCCAGGCTGCCCCCAGAGACAGGGGTTGTTTTGGAGTCCAGGCAAGGCTGCGCTGGAGTAACCTCCTTACTGCATCAGGTACAAAGCTGCGCCAGCCTCACCGATTAACTGGTCAAGGTTAAGGCTTACCAGTTAACCAGTTAAACCTTCACTGACAATTGAATACTAAAATATGACATCTGGTTTTTGAAAGACTGTGCACATTCTCTAACAAAATCACTGGATTTTTTTTTTAATTTAAAGAATTGGTGACGTTTAAAAAAAATTCAAGGTAATACATATATGATCTTAGAGTAACAGCACTGGAAAGTAAACTGATCCAGAGAATAGGTCTTCCAATACTGCTGAATCAATGTTCCCTTATTCCATTCTAGAAGAAATATGCCAGGGCTATTCTCAATATGCACTGGTGAGATGCCAAAAAGAATGCCAGTTAGTACATACTGTGATAAAAGATTTCCTTATAACACAATCTAACTATTAGGTCTTGTCTACATACAAGACTGGTACCAATTTAGCTAAACCTAGTTTTAAATTTGATTTACTTAAACTGATGCAAAAGCACTGAATAGAAACTCTTATTTTACAACTGGATTATATTGATTTAGCTGAATTTAGTAATTTAGGGTTAATCTTCATATTCATAGTAGTATCTTGTTTCTTTCACCCTTTCCTCTATTCCACTTCCACAAACATCTACCGTAGAACCTCAGAGTTACTAACACAAGTGCTCCAAATTTTAGATCATTTGTTCAAACATTATGCTTTAGGATACACAAGAAAAAATTCTCCATCTTCTCTATCTACTATTGTAGCAAGCAATTCTATACAAGAATGCAAGGGCAATCCAGTTCTATTTCACTCTGTTGCAAATGTTTTAAATGCCAACACTATATAGGTATATATAGACTTCAAAAGAGAATAATATTGTAACTAACACCATTTTTATTTGACAAGCAATAGAATACAAGGACTTAACTTTCATTAATGATGCTTCCTCCCCTGTCACCTATCCCTATCTTATTTGCAAAGATGCACAGACCATCATTTCATGCTGTAGTGGAAAGATGCTCATCAGTTCCCAGTTTTTATTTCTCAAACATCTGTTGATTTCCACAGTTTTACCATCCCATCTCGTAACATTGAGCAAGTTTAAACAAATATTTGTAGAATAAATGTCCTCAATTCTTAGGCAATACATACCTTGAGTTTTCCTCTTTGTCTACACACGTACTTGTCTTTTTTTCAGGAACTAGAAATCTCTGAGTAAATTGTTTACACTGTCATGTAAAGCATGGTAGGCTGTTGTGGACCACATTAAGTTCTCCGTGCAGTTGCTGTATAGAGAATGGAAGGTTATAGCTCAACTCAGTTAAACTAAGGGAGGGGGAAAACACTGCCAGAAAGCCTTACATGCTAGATTTTGGAAATCTCTTCTGAATTTTTAAGTGTGTATGATGAGTTTGTGCACAACAACAAATTAATGCAATGAGTTCAGTATAGATTGTATGTAAGACCCATATTCAACTTTTCCTGTCCTGGTATGAGTCAGAAAATATAAAACTGGAATGTTTTTTGGAACATGTGCTCATACATGTACTGACAAAAAGAGCTTGTGAGCTTCAAAAGTTTGCCTTTATGAAGCCCCTCTGTAAAGCTAATACTAATAGAGCTGAAAGATAGACCAACACTACTTATCTGTGTGTAACCTCACTGGCACTCTCATCCTCCATCTTCTCTAGAGCCACTCCCACCATTCCAAGCCTCTACACAACATCAGACAGCCAGCGCTGAAAGTCCTCTCCTCACCAACAACCCAGTAAACTACTTGCAATAAAAAGGTTCCTCCTTTCTCCAGAAATTACAGTGCTAGGAGATGGGCAAAATGCCATGCTGTATTGGAGACATATGTCAGAAACAAAATCCTCATGAACCACTGGGCATAGAAACAAGTACATTAACCCTGTAGAGAACTGAATGCAGTACTTTCCAACTGGATACACAATCTGATTCTAGTACTGATCATTTTAAGATCTATCCCATAACGTAAGACATTATTGAGTATAGAAAGGGCTAATTTAGACATTGTTGAAAGGTTTCTATTATTTGCTATATTTTCCCTCTCCTTCAAAAAAACAACAGTAACACTTTCTAAATAACGTCCAAGGTAGATTCTCTGTTTAAAAATACACCATAGGCACAGACTATTATTTTGTGGTGTAGTATAAAGGCTTTATGGGTACTTGTTTAGGATAACCTATATAGACAAAATATTCTTTTTAAATATGTATAGTTTGTTACATGACTTTTCAGCATATTAATAGGTGGGCCAACACAAACCACTCTAATCCTCTGAGAACTGACAGCAAGCACAACTCCATTAAACAGAACAACATCCGTGGTTGTTGCTGGAAGAAACTGTACACGTACATCACATCCCACTATTGCTATTTGTTTCTCCCTTTCTGAGAAGCAGAATAAACAGACACATTTTTTACTTCCCCACAATATTAAGAACCTGGGGCAAATTTAGACTTACTGGTGGATGGAGAAATATATCTGAAATTCAGCCTCACTGAAAAAGCAGCTTTACGGGAGACATGCAGCTATCAAATTTTAGCAAGGGCACTTGGAAGCCCATGTTCTACTGGAGGAACAAGCCATCAGGCAGAAGCCACTTCAACTTCCATAATATTTCACATAAATTCCATTTTAATTTTGTATAATAAGATTTTTTAAAAGATTTTTTTTTCAAAATCAATATGTACTACAGGTTGCACCTCCCATAAGCAGCACTCTCTGGTCTGGCAACATCCATGGACTAGCATGACCATGAGTATTCCTGGATCAGAGAGCCCGGTAGCCTAGTGGCAAGGAGCCTATCCAGAAGCAGGGTGGGCTGAAGCAGCAGGATGGAGCAGAGGCTGGAGCAGCCCTGAGCAGCCTGCAGCAGTGGGGCTGGAACTGGCAGCAGCCCACCAGCAGCCTGTGGCACTGGGACTGGTCTGGGGCAACACCTGGCAGTGCAGAATCGAGCAGGACAGCTCGGGGCAGTGTGGGCCAGAGCCAGAGTCCTGAGCAGCCCGCAGAAGCAGGGCCAGAACCTGCAGGCTACTACAGGGCAGGAGGTCGAGCCCTTGGTAGCCTGTGGCAGCACGACCAGAGCCAGAGCTTGCGGCAGCCACCAGCAGTCTGTGGCAGCGCAGGACCGAGGCCGGTGCCCCAGGCTGTCCACAGGAGCATTGGATCAGAGCTCGCAGGCTGCCACAGGGCTGGAGCCCAAGACTTCAGCAGTTGCTACCAGCCCATGGCAGTGGGACCGAGGCCAGAGCTGGCAACAGCCCTTGGCAGCCTGTGGCAGAGGGGCCAAGGTCTGACCTGCAGCAGGACGGGGCCAGAGCCAAGGCTGTTGCAGCCCATGACAGTGTGGGCTTCTTGAGTCAGCAGGCAGCCCTGCAGCTAGTCCAGGCAGGGCAGTGGCAGCAGGGCCAGCCAGGGCTGCGGGTAGTGGGGACCTCCCTTGAGTTGGTAGCACTAAGGTGGAGGCTGAGAGGCTGTGGCAGGTAATCTTTCCCAGTCCCAGCAAATTCCCTGATTCAGGACCAGTCAGGTCCCGAGGATGCTGGACTAGGGTGGTCCAACCTGTATAATTATACACACACACACACACACACGCACATGCACATGCACACGCACACGCACAGAGTACTACTTTTAGTCGCACAATTGCTTGAAAAACATTCAAATTGAGAGCTAAACCTGCAAGAGTTCCTCCAAGTGAGTGTAAATGCACAATGGAAGTATTTAGGTCCTTGTACAAGATACTAACACAAACTTAGAGAAGTCTCTCAGGGAGATCTGAATTATCTGAGACTTTTTTAATTTAAGAGAAAAATAACAAAATTGTTGGGCTCATGCACAGTTGTTCAAGGATAAGCGATAGATACATATTAGTTGGCAATGTACTAATATATATTTTATGGTTCAGTGTTACAGAAGTAGTATGATATCAGCAATTATTAAGAGACAGAATTATATTTGTTCCATGATTTCTCTTCAATTCATGGAATTGAAAAGTCTTATACAAAATTGACTGCAAGCGACCTTACTTGTTCAAAGAGATAAAAGGCTCTTATATCTCATTTTCAAAAGCCTGGCAGGTTGACATAGAGGCATTTCTTTATATGAATATTTTAGGACCAATCCTTTGATGGTGTAAATAAAATTACTTACAATTATTTAAATGAAGTTATGTCAGTTTATACCAATTGTGGATCTGACTTCATTTATAAAATTAATGTAAAAATGTATGAATTTCATGTACTATGCAAGGAAATTTTTCCCATCAAAAGGAAAAAATGTGTTAGAGTCAGAAGTGTTCTGGAAGTAAGGCTGCATGCCAATATAAATCTGTTTATTTAAACCATTTGATTATATTTTTTTGTTCGCCCGTATTTTATTATAGTTTAGAATAAATACTTTAAAATCAATGCAGAACAGAATTATTTTTAAGATTAATTTGTATAAGAAAATTCCATTTATATTATTTTTACATTTAAAAATTATTACTGTATTTGTAGCACAGTTCTTTGAAGCAGCACTACATATACTTAAATGTATTGTTAAAATAACAGTTCTACAAAAAAATAAAACTTGCACAGTTACATACAGTGTTCTGGTTTCCTTGACCAATGCATGTTTTGAAACTCACACAAATGAAGTAATGATGCATGTTTAATTGCACAATCAAAATTAACTTTCATGGTTCCAAATGGATTAGTTCCAAAATTACTTTCTACTGAAAAATCACTCTTGCAGCTCATACAGTATCCTTTTACGGCTCACAATAACTTCTTTGTCATGTTCTCTTCCTTCAAATATTTACAGAACACAGTGGTCCTTCCGAAATTAGAGACTTAGAGAGTTTAAAATTCTCTGAAGTCATCTTTAAAGATTTTCCTCACGAGTTTGAAGCAAAAACTACCAACACCAGCACCACATGTAAGTGAGACAGTGTATCACTATCCAAATGTCATTTAGAGGGCATCTGCATTGCCATGACTTGTGATTGTGTGGGGGCCCATTGATTGTTCTGCCCTGGGGTTCAGAATTGTTGTTGGTGGCCATGACACAGGGAGAAGAAAAGGGGTTGCTAAGACCCAACAGACTTCCATCAGAGCTCTTTAGAAAGGTCTGGTTTTCCCCTACTGAAAATTTTAACTTTTTAATCAGAAAACTAAAAACCATACGTTTTTGGCCAGAATCCAAACATTTCAAAT